AGTCGGCCACGACTGGACCTAATGGTCAAGGGTCCCTTTACCTTTACCTTTAAGCACTAAAAAAGGATGCTGTGGACTTCCTGTTTCTGGTGGTGGGAAATGGCTGACTCCCACACGACCAGACCCCAGCCGTGCCGGTAATTCAGGGCTGATATGGGGGTAATTAGCCCTGGCAGACTCCCCAGGGTGGGGGAGGACTGTCTTGGAGACCCGCAGATTGTCCGAGATTGTCAGCTTGCATCAAGGTGCAAGCAGCAGGACACTGGGTCACAGAGCACGCCACAGCTGGCCCTCTCCGATGTCACTCTCATAGCCGGAAATATCTGTTTGATAATATAACTGGATTTGGACAATAAACACCGATCCCAAAGGTTAGAGCAGAGCTTTCCAAACTGCATGTTGTAACACGTTAGTGTGACGCGTGAACGCTCCCCATGCTCCTCCTGGAGCTGGAAAGGGGTTAGTTTAACCTCTGGCTTACTAGTAAAACTGAATTACTATGTTGTGAAGTGATGCATGTCTAAAAAGTGTGTCACCAACACGAAAAGTTTGGAAAACTCTGGGTTAGAGTGACAGGCACTCATTGATAGTGACATAGCCAGAAAATAAAAAGAACAATCTCATTTTCCGCTTATGACATTTCCTGGTTCACACTGAGAAGCCATTTTTAAATGCCCCCCGACACTGGAGAGGAATTGAAAGCTGCTGCTAGAAATCAGTGTGGAAATCCCATTTAACAAAGCTGGCAATTGAGCCACCCACGTGGCCTCTCCATCATCAAACAAATGGTAGCAAAGAGGGGAGCTTTCTGCTCTGATTCAGGTGTTGCTCAAGTAAAATGGGGGTTGGCAACCTACAGCCCTCAGGTGCAATTAAGGCCTTGGCTTAATTTAATGTAGGTAGCAAGTAGAAAAAAATTGAAGAAAAAGTGATTGAATGAGAAAGAAAATGGGGGGGGCACCCCACCAAATAAGACAGGTTAACTCTGAGAAAATGCGGCCCTCAACAGAAAAAGTTGCCCACCTTTCATCAATATACATCCCATGCAAATTTCGTTATTTCTGTTTAATTTATATACAAAACCATTCAGCTCCTTATAGAGGTTTACAGAGGACAAAAATAACATAAACATCCATAATGAAAATTACATATTGCATATTGGAGAAGCCTGAGTCCGGGGGACAGTGGCTGATGACAGCTGTGTCGTGCAGGTCTTCCTGGATATATTACGTTGGGCATTGGGCTGAGACAACCCTACAGTGTAGTCTAGTTGTATTGCATGCTATTTACAAGTTGGCTGAGGCAGAGAGGTGGATGAAGGGAGTGGCAGGGAAAGGGTGGGGACAAACTCAGAAATGTGTTCCAGTGCTCAAATCAGGAAGAGAAGTGGTGCGCAGAATATATCTGCAATAGCGTCCAGGATAGTTGTTAGCAGGTTGGCTACATTCCCAGAGGAGATGGGTCATAACTCAGGTCACATTCACGCTATACACTTAAAAGCACTGTTATGCCACTTTAATGGTCGTGTCAGGAGCGGGATCTGTGTTTCCTAATGGAAAAAGTCCTGAGAACAAAGTATGGCTGAAGTCAAAATGGAGGAAGGAAACAAAAAGTACTCTTGGAGCAGTTCAACTTGCTGATGGAGCAGCAAAGCCAATGGCTTGACCAAATGGAGCAGCAACAGGGCTAGCAGTTCGCTGGAAGGGAAGCACCTGCGAGCAGAGTGCATGAGGAGCTTCCTTGAGGAGGAAAAGTGACTCCATGCAAGGGCAGGAGCCCTGCCTGGGCAAGATGCTACCAACCGCTAGGAGTGACCCAGGAGCCCATCTGGAGGCCTAGAGCATGGGTGAACAACTGGAGGGCTTTAACTGCAAGGCAATGGGGAGGATGATTCCTTGAGGATGAATGTGGCTGGCTGGCTGGAGTCATTGGGAATCCTGGGAACTTTGAGTTTGTTAAGGGTGGCTGACCATGTGGAGTTTTAATTCCCAGCAACCTGAAGAATTTACAGTTCCTGGTAGTCTCCATGACCATCTGTAAAAGCAGCATTAAGAGTGCTTTAAATGTATTGGGTGTGAGTGAGACATTGGTGGTGATAAAACATCTGCTTTAAATGCAGAGGTTTACTCCCAGCATCTCCAGGGAGGGCTGGGAAAATTCCCCTGCCTGCAGCCTTGGGCAGCTGCCTGGGTTTCCCCAGCCGTTTTGGGTGGCTTCCAACAAAACATTATAAACTTCCCTAAACAGGGTTGCCTTCATATCTTCTAAAACTCACATAGTTGTTTTATTTCCTTGACATCTGATGGGAGGGTGTTCCACAGGGCAGGCACCACTACCAAGAAGGCCCTCTGTCTGGTTCCCTGTAACCTCACTTCTCACAGTGCCGGAACTGCCTGAAGACCCTCGGTGCTGGACCTCAGTATCTGGGCTGAACGGTGGGGGTGGAGATGCTCCTTCAGGTATTCTGGTCCAAGGCCATTGAGGGCTTTAAAAGTCAGCACCAACACTTTGAATTGTGCCTGGAAATGTACTGGGAGCCAATGTAGGTCTTTCAGGACCGGTGTTATGTGGTCTCGGCAGCCACTCCAAATCACCAGTCTAGCTGCTGCATTCTGGATTAGTTGTAGTTTCTGGGTCACCTTCAAAGGTAGCCCCACGTAGAGTGCATTGAGTCCAAGTGGGAGATAACCAGGGCATGCACCACTCTGGTAAGACAGTCCGTGGGCAGGTAGGGTCTCAGCCTACGTACCAGATGGAGCTGGTAAACAGCTGCCCTGGACACAGACCTGACCTGCGCCTCCATGGACAGCTGTGAGTCCAAAATGACTCCCAGGCTGCGCACCTGGTCCTTCAGGGGCACAGTTACCCCATTCAGGACCAGGGAGTCCTCCATACCCACCCGCCCCCTGTCCCCCCAAAACAGTACTTCTGTCTTTTCAGGATTCAACCTCAATCCGTTAACCTCCATCCATCCTCCAACCTCCTTCAGACACTCACACAGGACCTTCACTACCTGCACTGGTTCTGATTTGAAAGAGAGGAGGAGCTGACTGGGTGTAAGGAAGCTCCCTAAGGCCCAGGCTCACTTATAGGACAGAAAGCCCCATTCAACTAATCAGGGTTTTTACCTCTAGGAAGACATTTGCAGGACTGCACTGCAAATGGCCAACAAAACGGAACATTTCACACAAAACAGTATGTGGTTGGGAAAGGGTTTTTTCTTTGATGGTCCCTGTTCTTGATGCTTTTTGGGGGGAGGGACACTTGCCCCCTCCTCCCCAGTCACAGCTCCCTCCACTGGTAATGTGAACAGCCTGCCACTTAGAATGAAATAAATATTATTTCGAAAAATAAAAAAATATGGTGTCCGTCGTTCCGTCTGTTTATTCAATAAGTCTATGGTGCGGTTTCGACGTTCCCGAAAGTCACTCGCTAGTATAGCCTTTCCTGATTTTCCTATCTCTATGGTTGGGTGCTCTCTTCCGGCGCTTGTCTTACGTCCTGAGTTCTGGTTGGACAGTCTGGCCGGAAGTGAACCCGTCAACCCGCCTTGGAAAGGGAGAGACCGGACTAGCCCGCGCTTACTATGGTGAGTCCCTTTCCCTCCCCGCTGGTTGAGGGTCTCGCTGCGGGGAAAGGGCGTTTTGCTGCCTCTCTTTCGTCGGGACTCAGATTGGGGGGCTGGGCGTTGCTGGGGAGGCCGCCTCCCTTATTTGTTTTCTTGTGGTTCTCAAGCTGTGGGTCCCCAGATGTTGTTGGACTACAACTCCCATCATCCCTGAGCTCTGGCCTTGCTAGCTAGGGGTGATGGGAGTTGTAGTCCGACAACATCTGGGGACCCAAAGGTTGAGAAAGGCTGGACTAGAACCATCTGCAGCTCAGCCAGAGAGCAGCGCTCTCGAACGGACCTTTCTCAGGACCTCACCGAAGCATGGTTGTCACACGATGATAGGGCACATAAGTTTTATGAATAAGCTGGAGGCGCTGCGAAGAGAACACCGCACTGCCCTTGGGGTAGGGTGGGGTGAGGGGTGTTGGACCTTGTTATACGACATGGGTCGATTCTCATGGACAACTGCGGAACGATGCATTGGTTTGATCTGTTTTCAATCTATACAGCATAACGTCAAGTATTGGGTTTCAATATATTATGCTTTAATGCAATCTACTCTCTTTTGAAAATCGTTTACTTAAAGAAAGAAGAAGCAAGGGTTTAAAAAAAAGTCCTCTGGGTTGTTTGCACGGAGTTAAAATAATATACAATTCTAACAGTATAACAATAATTTTGAACAGTTTAAATCAGTTTTAAAAATCAACCGTTTCAACCCCCTGCTAAAAATAACCTAGCACAAATAGCATAACATTTAAATTTCTGATTTCCTTCATATTTTTGTAACGTTTTATGTGAGCTTGTCTTTAATGTTTGCTTTTTATCAGTATTTTGTTAACGAATGTTTTACATTGTGTTCTGTAAACCACTTGGAAGTTCTATGTTGAGTAAATGGTGTATATGCTGGTGTATGTTATATCTTGACTGCCTTTCATTGAGATGACCCTAATTTTTCTTCTACCTCTGGCTTTGTTTTAGGCCACTGCTACTGACCAGTTGGTTGGGTATGGCTTGGTAGCCTTCAGTCTCATTCTCTTTGCTTACTATACTGTCTGGATTATCATTCTGGTATGTTATTTATTATTGTTTTTAAAAAATCTTATTTTAGTACATTTATACCCAGCCTTTCCTCCAAGGCAAGGGTAGGAAAACTGAGTCGTGGGGGTGGAATGTGGCCCTTAAGGCCTTTCTATTTGGCCCTCAGAACTGTCCCCCAGAGCTCACCCATCACCTGCCTGAATGGAAGGTAGAGAGGTGTGTGCGCAGAAATTAACTTGCTGTACAAGGGTGGCGCTGTAGGTTAAACCACAGAGCCTAGGACTTGCTGATCAGAAGGTCGGTGGTTCGAATCCTTGCGACGGGGTGAGCTCCCGTTGCTCGGTCCCTGCTCCTGCCAATCTAGCAGTTCGAAAGCACATCAAGTGCAAGTAGATAAATAGGTACCGCTCTGGCGGGAAGGTAAACGGTGTTTCCGTGTGCTGCTGTGGTTCACCAGAAGCGGCTCAGTCATGCTGGCCACATGACTCGGAAGCTGTACGCCAGCTCCCTCGGCCAGTAAAGCGAGATGAGCGCCGCAACCCCAGAGTCGGCCACGACTTGACCTAATCGTCAGGGGTCCCTTTACCTTTACAAGGGTGAAATGTTACATTCCTTGGTTGGCCCACTTTTGCCTCTGGCCTCACTCACCATTAGCATGTGCCTCTTAGGATGCTCAGATGGGAATGTTGCCCCTGTGCTGAAAACAGTTCTCCACTTTTGCTCTAAGGAGCTCAAGGTGCTCTGTAATATTCTCCACATCCCCAGCTTATCCTCGCAACAAGCCTGTGAGGGAGGTTAGGCAGAACAATAGTGATTGAACCACCACCACTTTGTAAGCACTGTGACTGAGTGTGGGTTTAAATCCCGCTCCCTAGTCTCACTTGAACCATGGCACAACACCGGTTCTTGCAAATTCAATCTTGGCACAATCGTGATAGCAGCTCTCCCAAGGTTTTGGGCGGGGATTTCCCCCTGTCTTACCAAGAGATGCTGGAGATTGAACCTGGGACCTTCTGCATGCCAAGCAGATGCTCCAACACTGAGCCACAAACCTTCCCAAAGAGGAACATAAGAAGCTGCCTTGTTCAAAGTCACACAAATAGCCCATCTAGCTCAGTATTGTTAACACTGACCAGCAGTGGGTCCCTAGATTTTAGATTGGGGACTTTTCCAGCCCTTCGATGAGATGCTGTCGATTGAACTTGTGGCCTTCTGCATTTCAAGCAGATGGTCTGCCACTTAGCTACAGAACTTCTGTAGGAAAGTCTTTCCCGTCGCCTGCTTTGTGATCCTATTTACTGGAGGTTTCAGGGGTTGAATCCAGAAATTCCAGATGCAAAGCATAAGCTCCCTAACCATTGCGTTTGTGGTCCCTTTGAGACCTCTACAAACTCTCTGTGCAAAAAGGTGGAGGGGTGTTGGAATCTGATCTACTGCTGAGGGTACAGGCAGAAACCTTTCCCCATTTGCACTCACTGACGTATGCACCTGTTCCTTCAGCCCTTCATTGAAGTTGACCACCTGATTCACAAGTATTTTTTGCCACGAGAGTATTCGGTGATCATCCCTGTGGTTGCGGGGCTTGTGTTGCTGCTCTTTATAGGTAAGTCAAATCTTCATGTCTTCATGTTGTGTTGTGTTTTTTACAGATGGAAACTTGTGATGAGAACTTAGCAAGGAATCTCTGTATTGATTCATAATATGGGTGTACTGCCCAATAATTAACATTCTCTGGCCAGCAAATGATACAAAATTTAAAAGCTGTAAAAAAATAATAAGGGGGGACACACACCAAGCCTCCAGATCTCATTGCACTACAGCTTCCATCAGCCCCAGCCAACAATCTAAAAGGCATGTCACAGAAAGAACGAGGAGATTAAAACAAACACAGGTAGTAGTTCAGGGGTGGGAAACATCCAGCCTCCCCATTTGGCCCACAAGCCCCAATCCATGCCCACTTGCCCCACACCTGACGTCGCATGTGAGATCAGGAGTGGGGCAGGTAGAGACACGGCTGCAGAAAGCAGGATTGAATAGCACATCAGCTGGTGACCGGAGAGTTAAATCCTGCATGGTTCAGGCATGCCAGCAAGTTCTTACTAGAAACTGTTTGGTGTACCCAAACCCTGAAGAAAGCAGGGGGAGGTAATCCTGCTTGGGCAGTATCTCCCCACAACCGACTGGAATGGGAAACTGTTCAAGGAAAGGAGTCAGAAATTGCTGGTCTCTTGGCAGAGCCAATGGAGTAGCCCCACTTACCTTCTTTCCCTCAGCTGCAGCCTGATGGAATGGTTGCTGGAAGATGACAATCGCTCGAGGGAGGTGCCTGATGGAACTGGCTTCTCAGCAAAAACAGTCTTATTTGTGTTGCCTGTTCTTCCTTTCACATAACCTGAAATGTGCAATGTAAAGCCTAGGGGGCGAGGAAATGAGGTTCCTTCCTCACTTCAATATATAGAGAAGAGTTCTTCCAATGCACCAATGGTTCTATTGCCGTAGAACAGCTTTGTTTCTTGAATAACTTGATGGCCGAGAGTCTGACGTTGCTCAGGGCAGCACAGCAGTGCCTTAAAACAGATTTCCCTCCCTTTGTGTTTCGCTAGGAACGTTCATAGCCACCATCACATGGAAGAACCGGAAGACTGCGAAGAAATCTGCATGAAGGTGGCAAGGAGGAAGGAGGACACAGGAAATCCTGCAGGCACTCTTGACAGCAGCAACGTGTGTGGGGTTTTTTCCACCAAATCATTTTTATTGAACAGCAACACATCTCTGGGGCAGCCCAGCCCACAATAACTAGCAGACACCAGCAGCAGATGCTAGGAAGGGCAGAGGGACTAGGCTGCTACCCTCATCAACTATGTCTGGGCATGGACCAAAGGGACTCAAAGCCAGAGGCACCACAAACAATGCTGCTCTGTTCCAGCCTTTTGGAATACTTAGATCAGTGCCCCAATGTCCTCTTGGCTACCCCAGTAAAGAGCCTAAATCTGGGGTAGCCAGCAAGATGCTCTCCAGATGTTGTCACACTCACCCCCACCATCCCATAACCATTGGCCATCCAGTGGTTGCGATTCCACCCCAAAGTGAAGGGCACCAGGTTCCCCATCCCTTCTCCGGAAGGGAGGCCTTGTCCAAACAGGTCTTCCTCCATCTCTCAAATGCTATAGGAGATGTCTTGGAGTACAGATGGAGAACCTGTGGCCCTTCCAGATGTTGTTAGGCTACATCTCCTGCCATCCCTGAACCATTGGGGGCTGATGGGAGCTAGAGTCCCAACAGCAGCCGCAAGGTGCCATATTGGCTACCTCTGGTTGCACTGCAGCCTCTTTTTGTTGACACACTTTTCCCTCTTCCCCTTCCTCCTCCACCTCCTTCAATTCCATCTCTCTGCCACCACCAATCTCACTCCCCTTTCAGCTCTTTGGACAATGTTTTCCTTCAGTTCGGCCTCCCCTAGTACAGTGCCCTGCCGTTGCTGTGGATTACTACTCCTAGAAGCCCCGGGCAGCTCTGCTGCATCCTGCGAGCCCCTTTGCTTGTCAAAATTGCGAAAGAGGTCCTAGGAACACTTTCACATGTTCACTGGCAGCATTTGGACAGCCTGACTTTTGAAGCAGGGTCATATAGCTGAAACCGGCACTCTTACTGCTGTGCTGACCCAGAGTTGTCTGATGAGTAAGCGGGTCCCACATGAGAGCAGAGCTTTGCTTACAGCTGCGGCATGTTTGTATGTGTGCAATTAGGGCCCTGCCAATGTTGCTGTTTGACTCCCAACTTCCATCATCCCTAAGCATTGGCTGTGCTGACTGAGGCTGATGGGAGTTGGAGTCCTCCAATGGTTGGAGGGCCACAGATTCCTCACCCCGACTTAGAGCTTGTCTGAGGCTGCCTGGCTGGCCTGGTTTTTTAAGGAGTTCAAGAAGCACACAAGAGCCTGCCTTTGTTGTCCTGGAGTATTAATTCAGTTTTGTAATTTTATTAACCCAGAGGCGGGGAAAGTTAACCCACTAGCTGGGCTTGGCATTTGCTCTGGGGCTCAGACTGCACACCTGTTAAATGGAGGTATAAACACTGAGGTGTGTGGGTGGTTCGACTCACAGCATGGGGATTCCCAAGCAGGAATAACCTTTTTTGAAACCACCCTGTCTTTTGAATGTTAAAAAGAGAAAGAGGAGAGGGAAAGCTGGAAGCAGTGCCCGAAAAGCAGTGCAAAAGAATATCCAATCCAGTCCTACTCAGCGTAGACCCATTGAAATGATTGGGCATGACTAATTTAGCCCCATTCATTTTAGTGGGTCTACTGTGAAATAGGACTAGCATTGGACAACCCTCTGTATGGCTCTTTGAGCTAAAAATAGGTTTCCTGACCAAAGTGTATTGAGCTTATCAGAATAAACAGTTAATGACCCCTCTTCTTCTAGTTTTGGTTATTGCTATTATTTCCTCTGCTTATGTATTGCTTGAACGCGGGTGGTGCTGTGGGTAAAACCTCAGCGCCTAGGGCTTGCCGATCGAAAGGTCGGCGGTTCGAATCCCCGCGGCGGGGTGCACTCCTGTAGTTCAGTCCCAGTGCCTGCCAACCTAGCAGTTCGAAAGCACCCCCGGGTGCAAGTAGATAAATAGGGACCGCTTACTAGCAGGAAGGTAAACGGCGTTTCCGTGTGCGGCTCTGGCTCGCCAGAGTAGCTTCGTCACACTGGCCACGTGACCCAGAAGTGTCTGCGGACAGCGCTGGCCCACGGCCTCTTGAGTGAGATGGGCGCACAACCCCAGAGTCTGGCAAGACTGGCCCGTACGGGCAGGGGTACCTTTACCTTTTTATGTATGTATTGGAGACTCTCCTCCTCAGAATTGTCTCCCCAGGATCTTGCCCTGTAATCCCAGCAGCTCTGGTAATAAAACATGTTTTTTTCCATGGGTACAGTTTTGCAGGCTCCATCTCTTTTCTGTATTTATTTCAGCTTTATAGAGCCATATTATTTATTTCAGCTTTATAGAGCCATATTTTGATGGGGGCGGGGCGGCACCTTCCTTTTTCGCCTCAGCTGGCCCCTTCACGTTTTACCTCAGGTAGCATCTTCCCATTTTACCTTAGGCAGCGAAATGGGACGCACCACCCCTGCCTTCCTCAAACAAAAAAACCATTGTGGTTGGTGGTGAGTGAGGAGTGGGGAAGAGATTCAAAATCTGGTGTCTCCAATGAAAAGAAGCGGGGTGGTCTTTCTCTGAAGAGGCACTGCCAGGCAGAAGAGAGAAGACTGGGCTGGTTGTAGACAGTTTGATCTGGCGTAAGACAGATGATGTTCCAGTCTGGATGTTCTTCCAGAAGCCCTGTTTATTCAGCCTTCGTCCTGATTTGCTTGCATGAAGCTTATGTGGTGGTTGGGCTATGGGGTCACATCCACATCTTACATTTAAAACTATATATTAAACACATGGCTTCCCTCAAAGAACCGCAGTTCATCCACCACAGAGCTGCATCCTTAACAAACTGCAATTCCTAGGATTCCTGGGGGGGGGGGTCACATGGTCTGACTGTATGGTGTGAATGTGACCCCAAACCTGGTCTTTATTGAGCATTAATTTTTATTCGTTTACAGGGCAGTTATATGACATGGAGGATTCATCCTCTATTAACTGATTGCAGGGAGAAGAGGAGGCTAAGGGGTGATATGATAGCCATGTTCAAATATATAAAAGGATGTCATATAGAGGAGGGAGAAAGGTTGTTTTCTGCTGCTCCAGAGAAGCAGACACGGAGCAATGGATCCAAACTACAAGAAAGAAGATTCCACCTAAACATTAGGAAGAACTTCCTGACAGTAAGAGCTGTTCGACAGGGGAATTTGCTGCCAAGGAGTGTGGTGGAGTCTCCTTCTTTGGAGGTCTTTAAGCAGAGGCTTGACAACCATATGTCAGGAGTGCTCTGATGGTGTTTCCTGCTTGGCAGGGGGTTGGACTCGATGGCCCTTGTGGTCTCTTCCAACTCTATGATTCTAGGGTGTTTACACGTCTTCCCATTATTTGTTCCACACTTTTCAATGCCTTTCCCATCAGTTTTTTAGCTGCAAAAAGTCAGGCTCTTTTTTAAAAGTGGATGTATTGTGCTAGGCCAACAGAGTGATTTAATTCACCCTGATTGTGCCATCCTAAAGTCCTGGTATGCACTTGACTGAAATACAGGACTCTTAAGAATATTCCAGATGGAGGAGGGCTTCCATGGATGATTGTCAGACGTGTAGACACACACAGGTTGCCTACCCTTGGTGCAAAGGCTAAAGCAGCATAGTAAATTGGCAGCAGTGGTTGGTACCTATTGGAACTGCAGCATGGAAGGCCCCAAGTTTGCCAGGCCTCCTGGTATGACCTGAGGTATCCAAGTTTTCCTGGCTCCCTTCACATGGCAGGAAGGTTTGAATCTCCAAGTGGGCAAGAGCTGGTGGCAGACAATAGCATGAACATTATGGGGACCTGTCCTTCTCCCCTCCCCTCCCCCAATTAACCTCTGCCTCCAGGGCTGTGACATAATCCGTGGCCTCTCCCTTGATATTACCTGGGGCCACCCCTAGGTAACAGGTGTGAAATCTGGGGTGCTCCCGACCTGGTACCACTAGAAGGCCTGGAGACCATCAGTGCATACCCTCCCAAGTGTCCCAATTTCCCAGGGATGGTCCCAGAATTACGAAAGTCATTCTGACTTCTGATTTGATGCCAGAATGTCCCTATTTCCCCTGCCAGTGCTGCTGCGAACAAGCTCAGGGAGTTGGAGGTGGTGGCACATGTCCTTAAGGTCCACAAATAACAACACTTTGGAGGTCCCGAGCCTCAAGGAGGTTAGATTGGTTTCAACTAGGGCCAGGGCCTTTTCAGTACTGGCCCCGACTTGGTGGAACGCTCTGCCACAAGAGACCAGGGCCCTGTAGGACTTGACATTTTCCGCAGGGCCTGCAAGACAGAGCTGTTCCGTCTGGCCTTTGGTTTGGACTCGGTCTGACCCTTATGTTTCCTTCCCCTTATGGTCTTGATTTATTGGCTACTTTAAAATGAGGCTGCATTTTAAATTGTATTTTAACCTGTATTTTAAATTGGTTGTCCCCCCCCCCTCTTTCCCCCCTATTATGTTTTTACTGTGATTTTATTGATGTTAGCCACCCTGAGCCAGGCTCTGGCCGGGGAGGGTGGGGTATAAATAATAATAATAATAATAATTATTATTATTATTATTATTAGTGGCAGCAGCGGTTGTGGTGGCTGCAAAGCAGCATCACGTTACCACTCCATGGCTGCTGCTGCAGCCATTCTCCTCCCTCCTCCTCTCCTGTGGGCAGCTCACAGCGACTGCTAGAGAGCAAGTGAGGAGAAGGGGCTGCTGCCGCTAAGGCCCTGCCCTGTGTGACATACCAGCTCTGAGGGGCAGGCAGAGGGCAGGACTGCCCTGGGTGGGGAGAAAGGGGGAGCACAGTGCAAGGAGTTTTGATTTTTTTAAAAATGCTTTGTGGATCTGATCTTGCCCCTTTGTAAACTCTATTTATTGGGGGGGGGTGTTCTTTTTTGTAAATCTACCAAAAAATAAAATCTCTATTAAGGGGTTTTCTCCAGTGTGGTGTAGTGGTTAAGAGCAGTAGACTCGTAATCTGGTGAACCAGGTTCACTTCCCCGCTCCTCCACATGCAGCTGCTGGGTGACCTTGGGCCAGTCACACTTCTTTGAAGTCTCTCAGCCCCACTCACCTCACAGAGTGTTTGTTGTGGGGGAGGAAGGGAAAGGAGATGGTTAGCCGCTTTGAGACTCCTTTGGGTAGTGATAAAGTGGGGTATCAAATCCAAATTCCTCCTCCTCTTCTTCTACTTCTTCTTCAAGACTTTGGAGGGCAAGTGTTCTGTGTCCCATAGGAGTAGTGGTGGTGGCACTCGCCCTTCTTCTGATAGGAAATGCTCAGTGTGGGTGGTATGAAATATGGGGGAGGGAGCGATCGGGGGGGAGTGAGAAATGTCCCTATTTTAATCTGTGGAATGTTGGAGGATATGTTGGTGCCCATGATGGACAGATGACTGGCTGAGGGCAAAGTGCGTTTGGTGGAGGCAGTGCCACACTCACCCGTATGGACCAGCCTCCTCTGTCATTTAGCCCAAGAACCTGATCCAATTTCTTCTCTTCATGCAATGGAACTCCCATGTGGTCCTCTGAAAGGCCACAAGACTGAACTGCCATCTTGGAAAGGAACCTCCAAGTGGGTTCCGTGGTTTCTAGGGAGATTAGAATCCACCTGGTCGTCACCAGCTTGTTTCTCTCAGAAGTGAATGTGCGACCCATCCGTTTATCATGAGTTCCAAAAGTCAGGTATGTAGGAAACTTTTCCCCACTCGTTCACAAAAACCATGTCTGTGATCCTTCCTCATATACCCCTTGCTCCAGCTCACAAAGTTGACACTTATTGGAACATATGGAAGGCTAGGCTGCCCCACACCATAAAACATCCCAATAATGGACTCGTATTCACATCTCCTTGTTTTGAACAAAATGAAAGGCTAGAGGGAGTCAGTCCACATCATTGGTGGGTTCATTTCCTGGTGATAGTTCAGAATCCACAAATCAATCCTTTAATACAGAACCTCGGGCCCAGTGGTCAAGTGTCACCCTCCACACCTCTCCGCCTGGCCCTTAGAACTCTCCCTCACCCCCACACCCCTCACTGGGCCTACAGTGCAGCCCAGGTGTTTTTGCCTGGCTGGAATGTGTCCTTGAACTTTGAACATGCCTCTCAGTTGCCTGAATGG